CCTTTTCTGATTTTTGTCAGTATACTTGACGTGATTTACTTATTTTACCATCTCAAATACGGGGGGAATACCAGTATTTGAGATGGTAGGAACAAGTGGTAATTGTACCAAATCCTCTCTTCTCTGTTGAAGTGAGTATTTGTCTTAAGAATATGCTCAAACAGTTGCAAGGAAGTTACCTTGTCAGAACTTTGCTAATTAGGGAAAGTACGTATAAAACAAAACTGTTAGTTAGTCTTGAGAAAGTTGTCTTCTGGATCAAGTTTTGTTGATTAAAGACTGTACTGCTTCCTAGCTGCTTGTCATTGCTGTCAGAGCACCACTGGTAATAGAGTTTCATAAGTTTGCCCTCATCAATCCAATACAAGGTCAGCTGGGTTAGCTCAAGCCATTTGCATTGACTTTTTAAACTAACCTGCCCTTAAATTTATGCAATTGATTAGGGAGTTGGTTTCCATCATCCCTTTTTCCAGCAATAGTGTTGAGGTGCTAACCTCCAGCTGCCTGGATGCATTGACCATCTGGGAATTATATTATCTTTGTCTGACACAGCTGTTTGAAGATCAGTGTGTGTCCCCAGCCTTAGAGCACTGTGGAAGAGGTTTGTGGTAAAGCATTTCACTTCGTGATTTCCATAGACTGACACAACAGGCATATTGTCGAGTGGTTGTAATGGAGTGGGGTGTGATTGCAGTCAGTTCATAAAAACTCCTTTGACAAAGAGACAGTCATCAAGCCATGGTAATTTGACCACTCTTGGTCATGTGTCTGCTATTGGACACCAGTGATATAACTTACAGTAGCTCGTACCAGTGAAATGTGAGTTGTTGGAACAGGTTTTGTAACTAGGCCAAGTTGATCAGTGTGCGGTAGCGTTGTATTATGGCAAGGAATTGCTATGCATGGATTGACAGCTGGAAAGGATCCTGGATTTCAGTGGTTTAATGAAATTACATACCTGCCTTGAGTAACACTGTGATCTAGAATTACCATCTATTTTTCTCTAAGTCTTCAATTTGACCTCAACATTTGTGCTGAGTTTAAGGACATAGCAGATACATGTTATAGATTGACATTAAAAAGATATCTTTCTGGGGCAGTTTTTAGCTAAGAATATATTTATTGTCAGAATATGCACTTAAGGGTTTTTGGTTCCCCCCCCCCCAATGTTTGTTAGGCTGGTGATACTTACCAACTTGAAATTTCACCAAAAAATGTTTCACCAGAAACAAGTCTAGGAGGTGAAATATTTTGTTAAGGAAATAGGTTTAGGAGGTAAAACATTTTGTCAAGAAATTTTGACGCACTGTAATGTACAAAATAGTAGAATAAGTTGCTGCAGAAGAAACAGCTGTATAAAACAATCATTTTTAAGAATGTAAATTTAGATGTGGAAAATGTGGTCGTGGTTTGAAAATGTTTAGTTATCATTTTGAGGTCTGGTTTTGATATGGAATCATGAGTCATTTACAAAAGCAGAATTATTTACAGATTTTGCATGTTCCTGTAATATTGTTAATGTTGTGTTTCTCTAGGCAGTTTTATGTAAATGGTACATTATGCTTCTAATTTTTTGTTAGCAATATACCTAAACTTATTGTTAAGTATTTCAACAGCCTATTTTAAGTGAGCTAGAGTGCCCTGTTATAGTGCACAAATCTGAAATTGAGCTTTTACAGGAAAAATTGAAAAACTTAACATTTTAACCTAGCAGAGCATAATTTGAGCACTACGAATATGCTGGAAAGCAACAATGTAAGGATGGAAAGAAAGCATGAGGTACAGTAGTTTTAATGCCTTGTGTCTAAGTCAGACTGGTGATGCCAAACATTTTTGCTCAAGGGTCCAGATAATAATTTTAATATCTGTTGACGCTGCTTATAATTCTGGAAGCTTGTTTGAATGGTTCTTGTGTTATCTGCCAAAGACTTGTTAAAATAGCTGTTGGGAGTAGAAGGTTTTACCTTATTAAATACTGAATAAGGGATTCTTAATTAAATGAACTATTTGAAGGATAAATTCTTTGTAGGTTTGTTAAAATGAATATTTATCAGGTATTTTGTGGTGTTTATCAGAATGACCATCTTTCCCTGGAAGGAAAATAAGAGAAATATAAATGGTTATTATTATGATTTTATAAATGAAATTTTTTTTTCCAAATTCTTGATTTTTACAGTAGGATATAGTATTTTTTTTTAGGAAGAATGACAAAAATGTCCTTTGAAGGTTATACTTTTGACTTTGTATGGTGTTGGATTGCCTCTTTCATGGTGTCTCACTCTTAAATATAGGCATCAGTAACAGTAACAGCTATAAATTATAGTAAATGAAAGAGAGCCATAAATAATTCTGTGGCTTAAATTGATCTATTAAATTAACTGAGGTCATGATGTTTTTTGTATGTTCAGCCTCTTCCTCATCTATTTTTTTTATTGTGGTTAAATAGAATATGGGAAACTTGGAAGAGATTTCTTTAGTAAGGTTGCAAGTATGAACATGATTCTGAATGGTATAAATAATTTACAGGAGTCAACCATCATGTCCATTTCCCTGAAAACCTTCTGGTTTACCCATATTTGGTATCTCATAACATTTTCTTTGAAAAATGTATGATATTCTTTCTTAATGTCCTATACTGTATGCTATATTTGGAAAAAGACATAATTTACAACATTTGTTCAGGAGCATGTGATGGCACCTCTGTGAAAATGTGTGTAAGAAAGAACAAAATGCTGCATAAGCAACAGAAGGTGAAGAACAGAAGGTGAGAAACAGCCCTACAAACACCAAGGTCAGGGAAGGAGGAGAGGGAGAAGTTGCTCCAAATGCTGATATTTCCCTGCAGCCCATTGAGGGGATCACCATGGAGCAGACGTCCATACTAAAGCTTGTGGAGGAACGCACAGTGAATGGGTATTCTGTCATGGAAGCCACAGCTCGTGGAGAGGAGTCCATACTGGAACAGGTTCGTCTTACATGAACTGTGGTCCATGGAAGACCCACTCTGATAAGGTTTATCCCAAAGGACCCTAGCCTATGGAGAGGCCTTATGCTGGAGCACGGAAAAGTAAGGAGGAAAGAATGGCCCCAGAGGAAGTGTTATGGACTGACTGTAAACCTCTCCCTGCACTGCTCAGAAGAAGATAAAGAAGTTTGGAGTGATGGAATGAAGTTGAGGGTGGGAAGCTGAGAGCTCCTCCTGGGAGGGGGATAAAGTGTTGATTAATTTTTTTCTTTATTTCTTACTACCTAAATCTATTTTAAGTGACAATAACTTCAACTGATTTTCTCCAAGGTAAGTCTGCCCATGATGGTAAATGGTAAACCCATAAGCTTTATTGCCCTATTTTCTCCTCCTATCCTAGTGAGGAAGGAAATTGAGTGAGCAGTTGAGTGGATGTTTGACCCTTTGCCAAGGTTAACCCACCACCAATGTTATTGTCTGTTTCCTCAGAGTAATGTAAATGAGACTACTGTGTTTGTCATGTACTGATCACTGTGTCAGAAATAAAGCAATTACACTCCTGTGGTATTTTGAGCTACCACAGAAATCCAAAATCCAATTTCCAGGCTTCCTCCACCCCTTTATCTCAATTTTATCTCAACACCAAAGAGAGAACTTTCAGGCAGAGGCTTCTATGGGGGAAAGGGGAAGTATATAGTTGTGTAAAACTAGATACAAACTTTTAAAACTTATTGTAGAGAATCTGTGCCAGTTTGATATGTAGATCCTAGTATCTTTTTTTTTTATTTGTTTGGGGATTTTTGATGAGAGTGAGGTTAATGATGCTTTTTTAAAAAAAATTGCCAATTGTTTGTTGGGGGTTTTTAAACCTCTTTTATGCACATTTCAGAAGCAAAAGTATCCCAAAACCAGATGACAAAACCACCTTAGCAATATTTACATTGGTAATTTAAAATGTGTGGTATTACTATTTTGTGATATTTCACGATAGATTTTTTTTTCTCCTTCTTGGAAACCTATCGTATTTAAAGTGAAAAGTATGTTCCATGGCATCTTGGAAATGTATCGTACTGGAAAATAATGGACAAAATAAAAAGTGCCAGCTGCTAGTTAAAATATTATTTAAGGTTAAATCAATTTAATGGAATAGTAGAAGTGTTGACATATACAGTATTGAAGAAGAATTCATTCTGAATTCCTTTTGTTGTAAATTAGTTATTTTACAGTGAAAGTGGCAAAATGCAACAACAACAATCACAAATTAAGTTTTTGTTTGACTTTATGTATTTACATGTTAGCATTTTACCTTATTGGTATTAAGTGTGTGTTAGTATTTCTCTGTTCTTAACCAAAGTTATTCAGAAAATCTGAAAGTCTAATTTGATGAGGTCTTTCTTTCTTTGCCATAAGGACATATGACATAGAATGAAGAAAGCTGCCCAGTTTAAGTGTTACTTTCACATACTCTTTCTCCAGATTGCTATATGAAGCTGTAGATAATATAAACACATATTCTTGTCTCTAGTTAGTCACATTATAGTTAATGACCATATGGTCATTATGGTATAAGATCTACTGTCTGTTGTATTTATATTCCTCAAGCATATTGTTCCTTCAACTTCACAGTGTGTTAAACTATTTCAAAGGGAAAAAAATCCTTTCCCTCTTGTTTCTGGTTGTCCTATCAAGTGTAACCTTGGACCCTTATAGAGCAATTAGACCAGCCTCTATCCCCTCCTTTGTAATGAGGTTTCTTGCATTTCTGAGTCTATAACCCTTTAGTCTTCCCTAATGGGACATCATTATTCTGAAAGAAACAATGTAAATGTAAATGAATATTCTCATTAACGAGTCACAGAGAAACCTTTAGTGGTAGCGCTGTGGTAATTCTGCTTGTTATTTCTCTGGTATTCCATGCAGATTTTTTTTTTATAATTCATTATTAGTATTCAAAATTACTTCTTCTTTAATTCTGCAAGTCTTTCATAATCCGGTGTTCCAACTAGTTCAACCATGTCCTTGTTTTATTCTCCAGGAACCACCTGTGAAACATTCAAGGTCTCTGTCCCCAAAGAGCTCTTTTAGAGAGTCAGAGGAGCTAAGGAAGCTTAAAATAGCTGAAAGGAAGATTGAAAACTTAGAGAAGACACTACGGCTAAAGGTGAATGTTAAAAAAATCCAAAACAAAACCTGCTAGCTATAAGCTTGCATAGTAAGATACTCCAAAATAAACAGGCATTTTAAAAATTAAAAATACACATATTGTTATGGACTCTGTATTAGCATAAAGGAGCACTTTCCATTAATTTACCTTTCTGTTTTACTTTGTGAGTAATCCTACAGTCCTATAGAAGCTTAATTGAGCTGTCATCAATAACACATACATGTTAAATACATTTTCAAAGTTTGTGTCTGAGAATATATATTCTGAGAAATTCTTGTATTTGTATAGAAATAAAGTAAATCAGAAAGTACAAAAATTTTTTTCTTTACAGTGAAGCCAGTATTTTAAAATGCTGAAGTCAATTACTTGAAATAGATTTACCCCTGTAAACCTTAGAAGTTATGGCTCAGAAGTTGCTGTTCTAATAAATGCTGTTAAAAACCCCCGATAAACAATCCTCCTCCCTCTACCCCTTGGTAGAATATCTTAATTGAGCGTGTGTTACAATTTCTCCCTGTTTCATAGATTCTTGTAGTAGTTTTTTTGTTGGTTTGGTTTTTTGCTTCAGAAATACAGTACCTTTTGAACAAACTATTGGGTTCAAATTGCACCTCAGAACACAAAACTCAAACCCTAAGTCATATTTTCTTAAACATTTAAAATTCATCCTCTCCTCCCTCCTCTCCTTCTCCTCCCTCCCTTTTTTTGTTGCTTATGTTTGTTCAGATTTACAGAATTTGAAAGATGTTTTCAGTATGTGTAGCCTAAAGCAGAACTGTTTATATTGAACATGCTGTGATAAATGTCAGGTAAGCGAAAAAATTTGACAACTCTACCAACCATAGTCCTTAAGCTCCTTCCTCATGCAAAAAGACACCCATCTGATAAGTCAGTTTTAGAAAAACTGTAAGTGGGAATTTTATTTTAGCACAGATGCCACAGTTCCTTACCCTGTATGTTTGAGAGAGTTCAGTGCAGTGTCCTAACACATGTAGAGTATATGAAAGATTATTATAATAATATAGGAAAGATTATTTAGACTACAGATTCAGTCTTACAGGTCGTCTTGTTTCTGGGAGTCAGAAAATTACTTTTATTTTTCCTCTCTGTTAAGAAATATAAGGCATGTCCCACTAGCTAAATCTCAGGCTGAGAACTGGCCTTTGGGAGGCTTCCTTTTTGTTACTCTTACTTGGCCTGCCCGACACTGATGCTACAGATTATTCTGGCATGTGGACTACAGCTGTTCACCCTTGGAAGCAAAGCTCACACATCAGTGTGTATGGTTGTTACCTTAAATGATAGAGAGCTCCACTCTCTGTGTTTTCTTCTGGAAAGAAGAGTGAAGGGAAACATTGATTTTCTCAGTAGATACAGAAGAGAAAGACCTCTCTCTGCATAACCTCATATCGTAATTTGTACCATTCATCATCCTGCCTTATCTTCTATTTCATCTTAAAGTAAAATTTAGGAATCTATGCAGGTTTATTATGTTGCAAGTGTGGGATCTCTGCCACAGCTTTTAAACCATGGTGTCATGAAGGGCTAAGTCTTATATCTCCCCTTGAAACTGAACACATGAACTCTTTGCATTTTCTCTTGAAAATCTTCTTGCCTTCTTTTGCAGAATGCTTTAATTGTTTGAAAAGAAACTGTAGAGGCCCAGGTCAACATACTAAACACTGTTATGGCACTACATTCAGAATTCAATGAGGCTACTGCCAGCATGGCAGTGAACTAAGCTGTCATAACATTAATGTCAGAATATTTCTATTGGTGTTTTGTGATTTCTTGATATTAGCCTTCTCTTAGGCATTTTTTCCAACTAAGAATAATGCGTATGAGCAACATTTTCAGAACTGGCACTTGCATTATTGCCTCCTCAGGCAGGGTGTTGACTATATGATTACTTGGAATATTCTTGTTCAGAAAAATCCTTGCTCCATCAATAAACACACTGATGATGCATATCTGGAAGATGAAATTGTGACCTTATCCATTAGTCTTTCTGAAAAACTGGTAACAATTAAAAAAAAAAGAGAGAGCGCTCTATTTATGGAGTTTTCAGGAACAGGAATGCCTCAGTATTGCAAAGGAGCAGAAAAGGACAAGATCCTATTCACAGGATTTTCCAGTTCTCCTCAGCTGACTCATTTCTCACCAAGAAAAGTTAGCTATTACTATCTTTGTTGCTTTTATAAGCAGGATGATCATGTAAATTCAGTGTCCACAGTTTTTATACAGAATTGCCTTTGTGTCTGGACATACTATAAAGTAACAGAGCATGCCTGATTGTGCAGTTGTTTACGGAAGAGAATGTCAAAATAAATAAGAGTACTTACTGGGTTTTAAATAATTAATTATCAAGTTGCTACTTAGAATGGTCCAAAGCATAACTATATCAATCTACTTTTCGTCTTTAAGAAGTGAGTAAGGTCTGTCAAGAGTAGGTATTTGATATAGGCTAAGAATATGTTATCTTCTCCCATATTATGTTTTTAGAACTGTGAGCACTGGCATAGCCCAGAGTAGATAATCCTGGCTGTACTGGAAAGCTCTGAAAAGCAAGCAGAGCTCTTCCCTTTGAGTTTTCTCATCCTATTTAAGTTCTAAAATTTTTGGAGATAATTAAAACTAGGATATGTAGATCTCTCTTCAGGTCCACCTTAATATTTGTTTATGTCAGCAAGACCACCCTCAGATTTCCTGTATAGTCCTATTTCATGTATGATGTTCAGATGCTGAAAATAGATTGTTATTATTATTGTGGCTTGTTCACGTAACTATTTGTGGAAGAAACTATTTTTGTAATGATTGGGTATGTCACTTGTAAGCCTAAGAATAGTAGTCAAATAACTGAATCAGTATAATATTTAAAATTTCCTTTCTACTATAACAGAAGTTGTTACAGGTCAATTTCAACAAAATTTTGAATTAACTGCTAGTCTTTTGCTTTGTCTGAGCTGCCTGCCAGAAAAGAATGGCTTTTTTTTCACAGGCAGTTGGATTTTTCCTCTTGCAGATTGGACTTTCTCTTATTGTCTTTCATTATTGCTCAGGAAGTACTATAGAATGACAGTGAAGAGCTGGAGAATAATCTGGATGTCTAGCACTGATAGAAATGGGTTTTCTATCCATTTCTGTAAATATATAGAAAACTGTGTATAAGACAGTTTATTTATCAAATATAGCATAATTCAATCAGAGAGAGACATATCTAACAGATTGTGGAAATTTCAGTGCTTAATCCTGAAGTGCTTAATTCAATAAAGACAGTGATTAAGGCAGTTAATTGTCTAATTTCTATTTCTGCAAGAGCAGAGCAAGTGATAAATGAAGGGAATAATTGTAACAGAACGGATAATAGAACAGGTAAGCAATAATGAAAAATGTAGATTTATAAATAGGAAAGACCAAATTCTACAGTTGGTTGCACCTCTGAAAGGGCATTGACACTAATAAGCTTCTTAGAATTTATGCTGAAGACATTATTTTCCAGTACCTTGCCAGACTTGATCAGTTTTTACTAGCAATATCAAACAATGTCGGAACAATTGTTTCATGAACTTCTCTTGAAAACACAACATCTGTAATTGGATTCTTATGAAAATTTCCCGTTACAATGTGAAGCACAGCATGGTAGTAGTCTTTGTGTCCTTAGTCTGAGTTGTATCTTGCTGTTTGTGTGATTGGTTTTTGGTTTTAATATTATGGTAGTGTTTACATGAACCACTTAAAAAAAGTCAAAACTACTTTTTAAGCAATTCTAAATTTATAAATGTGTCTAGTTTAGAGGTTGTTTCAGGAAAAAAACCCACCACCAGCACTTTGAGAAAGTGTATAATGGTCATGTCACTTTGGACATGCTTCCTGAATCTTTTTGTGTTGCCTGAGTCACTTCCAAAAAAACTTCTGGAATTTTGTATGTAGTAACATTTGACATTCTGGCTGGTAACTTTCAAGTTTGTGCATTGTGAAAGCAGGGCTACATTTTAGAAGCCAAGCTTAATCTAGCTACTTTGTAGTTAGCTGTACTCTAGAAACCCTTGCCATTTTTTTGTAGTGGGATTTTATTGCTTGCAACTCTGGCTATTGGCGTACCTTATTTATTGGCTAGTGCTGAAAAGCCCTCCTTGCATATAAGCAGTAAATACTTGCACATAAAGTATTGTGATTTACTTAGTTATGTAGTTGCTCTACAAGCAGAGCTCCTATTGAAGTGGAAATGAAGCTCTGAGTGCAAATTTTGCTACAGGATAATGTCTGCTGAATTCTTTATTGCTATATGCCAGAGCTTGACTTGCTTGGTACTGTGAAATACTTCTTCTTGGTGTTCTTTTTCTTTTTTTTTTTCCACAGCACTGTACTGTCATTTGGGAAAATCTTTTAAACTTAGATGATGTTATCCTGTAATATAAATCGAAGTGTATTGTACTTTTTATTCTGTACATTTTTTGTATGGTTTTGATTATACAAAAGCTAGTGTAAAAATTGGTTTTATTTCTTGTTTGCTGTATTACTAGAAGACAAAATCTGGAAGTTGCAGGTTTATATATATATATATATATAAACAATGTATGAAAAAATATTGAAACCTTTAAATTTAGGGGTTCCAGTATTTTCCTTGAAAATACGAAAGTCAGTTTTCCATTGGGGAAAAAAAAGTTTGAAAAAAAGATGGTGCCAGCAATCCTTTTTCAGTCTATATATTTTTAGATGTATTAGGCCAATGTATTCACAAGGTGAAAGCTGGCATTTTGGTAGTAATTTTTTTAAATTTCTCAGCAAAATGAAAAAAATATTTGATTTTGCCAAATTAGCAAAATTTTCCAAAGTAGTAATAAGAAAATTTTGATCTCAAAGACTGTAATTCCTGATCTTTCTATTTAGATTTCTGATTTGCTTAATAGTTGATAAAAGAGAACTTCTGTTTCATGTGGTCTGTGTGACAGTCTCTTACATTTTGACCAACTCTAATTCAGTTTTTCTGGTTTCATACAGACTCGAGAAACTGATGAGCTAAGAGCAGCCTATGAAAAACACAAAGAAAGGCTGCATATGTTACAGACCAACTACAGAGCACTAAAAGAACAATTAAAGCAGTGGGAAGAAGGTGATACCAGGTAAGTTACATAGCTCATTAAAACCATTTCTCTTACAGAAGAAATCTGAACAGAGGTATTATATAGGTATTGAAAAGAGAATTTGATTTGAAGGAAGAAGGTACTATGACTATGATCAAGAATTTATCCCTTGTTAAAGCAGAATACATGACTTATCCCTATATCAGAAGAATTGCAGTTGAAACCAAGAGGAAATGTATCGAGCTGACACCTTGACTTATTTTATTTAGGATCTCATTGTGAGCCTGAGTACTGGACAAAGGTCTGCTAGGATTGCTTCCTTATGTTTTTGTAATTCCCCAGTCAATTATTTTGTTGACTGTGTCTGTTTTTAATTTTCTCTAATACAACAATTACTGATTATGTTTCAAATGGTTTTAAAAATAGTTTTTTATTCATTAAAAATATAGAAATAACAGCCTCTCTAACATTTAGTGATTCAAATATTAACTGAATCCAATCCTGAAATCTCTTTCCTAATAGGTAAAAAAAATAATATGCGCATGAAAGCGGGCTGTTTTTATATGTTAAATTATTTAAAAATCAATTATTTCTAATAATTTTACAAAAAAAATTGCAGTAAAGATCTTTATTAATGGAAAGAGGAACGACTCTACTACATAAAAATTTGTATGATGAACATTTTGTGTATAATTCTCCCTTAAATTCTATACAGAACAGTGAAAATTTTATGCAGAACTTTTTTTTTTTTAAAGTTCTTAGCAGACAGTTAGAATTTTTGCTAAAAAAATGCATTTGAAGTTATGAAAACATTTCACTTCAGCTATCAAACACTCCTGTTTTTGGGACCTGGTTCAAGGAAGTAAGTTCCTTGTAGCTTTAGCAGGACTTCAGCATGCACCTATAGCTCACCAAACACATATGCTTTTTACTTAAAAATAATTCTTCTTGCAATTAGAACAATACTGACTAATCTTGACACAAACTTTGTAATGCTTTCTGAACAAAAAGAGAGTCAGAGAAGATACTGCAAAACTGGTAGCTGTTCAGAGTCCTGCTGATAAATTGTCCCTCATATATAAGTAATGCTCTGGCCTATATGAGTAGATTTGCATTGCTTTGAAATACTGTGGCATTTACTTAAGAACAGTTTGTCTTTTAAAAAGACAAAAAATAATGGATGAAAATAATGGTAAAGTACAAAACTGCTACACCATTCATGATAGCACAGAAGGATTTTTTAAAAATTCAAGCATAATTACAAATAAATTTGCTTAAATTATAATGGAAAGGTGCTTCTTATTTAGGAAAAACATGGATGATTTTTTCCTCTAGCTCATTGTTTTTAATTCAGTGCAATCTGGAAGTGACTACAGGATGATAGTTACTATATTCAATGAAATTATTTAATTCTGTGTCTATAGCTTAGTAGGCGTTCATTGTCCACTGAGAGGCCAAGACTGAAAAGATAAAAAAATTCAACCCAGATAAAGACAGTAAAATCAATATACAGTGAAGCACTGAGTGTTCTGGTTCTGATAGTTTTTTAAAAGATAAATAAAAAAGAAAGAACAGGAAAGAGAGACAAAAGCGACTTCTGTTTCTGTTTAAAATAAAACCAACTTGTGATATGACAGGAATGTATTTGGGAAAAGTAGGTATTGGGTAAAATGTAAAATGCATTTATCTGATTCTTCATATATATTTAAGATAAGCGGAAAATAGCAGGGTTTTTTAATTGTTGTCATCATAGTAGAATTATATGAAGCCCCACTAGAAGTGGTTTGATTTTCCTTTTTAGTACGCTTAAACAAAGGAAAGTAGCCGAGGCACAAATAAAAACAGTCTCTAACAATAAGACTGTTATTTTGATATCTCAGAAAGCTATACAGTGCTGGTGTAATGTAAATTGTGCATTAAGAACTCAGTATCAGGTCCTTATGTGGCACTTCTGATCCTTTATAAGTGATGGAGGACCCTATTCTCCTTATTTGTCATAGATTAGTATCTGTTATCAAGATGGCAGCTGATAGGACCTAATCCACCTGTCAGTGTACATACAACTTGCACTGATGTACATGACTGCAAAGATGATGGGGTCCTTAGGAGGTTATCATATTCTCTAAGACTTTATTCTATGTCCAGTAGGAATTCAGATTGCAGAGAGTTTTAAATTGATTTCACAAAGAATTTTTAATACAATTTTTAGCTTTTGCATTATTAAAATACATAAAAATATTTTAATGACAGAAAAACTGTTAAATATTTTAAATTTATTTTTCAGTGCTTTTAAATTCAGTATGCTTTTTCCTTATACATCATCTTGTCCATAGACAGTTTATTCTTCCATTGATCTGTAGGACAATACTTTGATTTAGAGTAGGCATTAGTGCAACTTCCAGATGGGTTTCCCAGGGTATTAGGGGAGCTGGTGGCTCTCCATTTTTTTTTTCAAGAGATTATGTGATGGTTTCAACTTCTGCTTTCTCATACTATTATTTTAAGTAATGTCGATAGAATGTGGGTGACACTATTCTGCCACATGTAGGTTGAGAGGCATGGTGTCATACTAGCGCAACATCTGTCTGAAACTATGCTATTGGACTTCTCTGTATTACCACAGTAAAGGTTTTGTGCCTCATAAAACATATACTTCATGCAAAATGTAGATTCAGTAGATGCTGTAATTGAAAATTTATATTTTCTGAAAGCAAAACATGTAGGTATTTGAAAAGAAACCAGCTGTTTTTTTCATAAACAGGCTTGAAAATAGTAAAAGCGGATACCAGCATGCAGACTCTGGTCAGCTTTGTCAAGAGGATCCTGATGTGGTGTTGAATGAACTGGCTTTTTTCAAAAGGGAACACAAAAAGCTGTTGATTGAAAAGTGAGTTTGCTTCTTAAAAGGTATTTAAGTTAAAAAAAATACTGTTTTTTTTTTCTGAAGATAATACTTTGCAGGCCATATAGGAGGAATTCCTTGCAAAATTTCAAGAAAAAACGTCTTCTACCAAAAGCAGAAAAGGAAAACATCAGCTCTTTTTTTTTTCTTCTCCCCCACTCCCTCCCCCCACCCCTTAAATCAGTGACAAGTTACAAGTTTGCTAGCACTAACAGAAACTGTATTCCATGATCTAGGGATTGTGTTAATTAATGTGGCTCTCATCTGTTGGAGGTGTCGCTCTTCATTAGCCTGTATTTTCCACACTGCCGTGCTTCATTTTTGGAATGAGGTGGTGAGGGGATAACCTAGCCAGCCATCCTTTTTTGATCTCTGTGATACATACGCAATGCAGAATGCTTCAGCTCTCTTGGTTCCCTGCCCTGTCCTGCTAATCCCAGCTGAGCTCATTATGGTGTAGCCTTGCTGCTACTCCTGGAGCCAGAGCTGTCCAAGCTAATTACTGGTAGCAGCAGAGCTGCCTGTTAAGGGTCTGGTGTGGATCTGCTAACATGGTCCTTGGTAGTGACCTGCAAAAAGCACGAGGGAGTTGCTCTCTTTCTTGCTGTGCGCAGCCTGTCCTTTGGGTTTAGTGCTGATCCCTTTGCACAGCTCTTTCAGCTATAGTAAGTGTAAAACTTGGTGAAGGAAACTCTTACTTTAGAAAACATACAGTTTGCTGCTTTGATCTCATAATTCATAGGCTATTATACTCAGCCAGGCAAAGTAAAAAAATGTCCTTTTATACTAGACAAAAGGAAGTTAGTATGGTATAATTAGCCCTTTGCTACTATTTAACACTTTCTGTAAGTCAAGTTGATTTTTTTGTTTTAATTTAAGAATCAAGACATCATAGAAAGTTTTATTCAGACTTTGGTTTTGTCTACATTAAAGAAAATGTGTTTTCCCAATGGGTCACAATGTAAACCAATTTGTGCCGATGCCATGAAGGCTGTTATCACAAAATTTCAACAGCAGCAAGTTGTTTTGTACTAAGTCCTCGTGTTGCCCATAAGTTGCCTTAGTGTATTGCAGACAATATTGCCATTAGCTGTGTTACATGGGATATTCTTATGTCAGTTACAATTGTCTGCCTGTTCTTGTCACTTCATTGTCATCTTTGTTTGCTGTTTTGAAACTATAGCAACAAATTATCAAATTTGTGGGTTTTCTTTCTGTATTTTTATATAGGAAAGAACACTTTCTTGCCATACATGTAATTGCAGTTGTAATTCTCCTTCCATCACTAAAGAATGCGAACACCACAGGCAATAGTGACTCAGGAGCAATAACATAAGCCTTCTTTTTTACACAAAGCCATGCAAGAGAGATTGTACACACCCTGAAGGTTGGTACACTTAGACTGGTTTTTTTAGAGCTCCTGTACACTCACATTTATGGGGAACACCCTTATGTCTGGCACATTGCAGATTAGTTGCTTTGACTAGATTGTGGTGAGATGACATGAGCAAACAGAATACAGAATTTATAAGACAAAATAGGTTCATAAAATACTGCGCAGTACTTAGTAATAAGCCAGTATGGCATCGTGTTCATTAAGGTGAACTCCTTGTGTGGGTTTAGGTGCTTTTTATTCCTTATGGGCAATGTTGCTTATTGTTGGTTGAAGTAAGGAAGAAATGAATACATAACTGCTGTGGGGTTTATACCTGTCTTTCGCTAATAACGGCTGTCTTTAATTTGTTGAAGCCAGTCATTGTTTCAAGATCTGAGTTCATTTTCTTAAGAAAGTCAATACTAAATTTAGTGTACTTTTGAGATCTGTGGATAGGACTTCTTTATATTGCATGCATTCTTTTTTGAGCTCTGTGGATAAAGGATATGATTACTTATATGTATAATTTTATGAGCAGTGTAAGTAAATCATGTTAACCCATAGCTTTTGTGGATGCATTTCATTTGATAGACTCTACTGCTTGTTAGCTTGAGTTGATGTAGAACACTTATATGCCAAAACCAGTGCAGCATTGCTTAAAGAAGAGTGTCTGTGTAGGGATTTCATTTTGGTTTAAGTAGTTTTAACTTTCACTGTGTAATTTTCATCTCTGAGTAGGCCAAAGAGTAAATGTTAGGAAAACAGGATTATTTATTGTTGTTTGTTTATGTGTTTAACCTGTAAGAAAGATTTTCTCTCCCACCTTCTGAGGGGCAGAGCGATGATGTAAAATGTCTTTAATCTGCAGATACATGGATCTGACACTTGATGGATAGTAAATACATTATAGGGTAAAGCCAGGGAAAGCTGACTTTTTTTGCTGCTCCCAGCAAAAGTGATCATTACCAATATTAGCACACTGTAACAAGTCAGTTTGTAAGTTATAAAATCTGTTTTTAAGTCAGGAAAAACTGAAGTTGCTTGGGAAGTGACATGTTCTGGTGGTGCCTAATTCCAAATCCTATTGAAATTGGTAGAAAGACTTTGTGTCAGCCACTGCTTTCTGTCAGGTCCTTTCTTTTATAAAGTCTTCTTCTCATCATAGGCAAGGATTGCTATGACTTTCCTGTAAGCTATTAAACACTATCCATCTTTCAAAATCTAAACTAACACAAAAAAATACAGGCTTTGGGACTTAAGTTTAAGCACCTCTTTTTAAAAATACGTGAAGTTTTCTATTTTTGTGAAGTTCAGAATGCCTAATATCAGAGTTAATTTTTGGAGAGTGTTGATAGAGAGTTTGTGGCATTGTTACTACTTTTTTTTTTTTACATTTTGATTAGTAATGAATAGTATGTACGTGTTGTATTGCTTTGCAGTTAATATTGAAATATGGTTCAGAGTCATAGGCTGCATACTTTCCATGAATGATGTATAAATTTAAGCCATTTTTGTATATAGAAGAAAGTATTTCTATATTGTTACAATCCCATACTAGATTAGTAAAATATAATAATCATTAAACTGGAGTTATTCAGTGTTTGCTCAATGCTTTATGCTTATATTTTTCTTGAATTTCCCAGTATTCCACCTGAAATCAATGAATTACAGAATGGGTAAGGTTGGAAGGGACCACAGTGGGTCATCTGGCCCAACCTCCATGCTCCAGCAGGGTCATCCTAGAGCACATGGCACAGGATTGCATCCAGACAGTTCTTGGATATACTCAGTGAGGGAGACTCCACAACTTCTCTGGGCAACCTGTTCCAGTGCACCCACACAGTGAAGAAGTTCTTCCTCGTATTCAGGTGGAACTTCTGTACATCAGTTTCTCCCCACTGCCTCTTCTCTTATTGCTCGATACCACTGAGAAGAGCCTGGCTCCACCCTTCTGACCTACCCTCTCTTCAGATATTTGTACACATTGATGACATCCTCTCTCAGTTCTCTCTTCTCAAGGCTGAATAACTCTCTCAGCTTTTCCTCATAAGAGAGATGCTCCAGTTCCCTAATCATCTCTGTGGTCCTCTGCTATATCTGCTCCAGGAGCTCCATGTCTCTCTTGTATTGAGGAGCCCAGAAGTGGACACAGCACTACAGATGTGGCCTCACCAGGGCTGAGTAGAGGGGCAGGATCATTCACCGTGGCCTGCTGGCAGTGCTTTTCCTAATGCACCCCAGGATACCACTGGCCTTCATGGCCGCAAAGGCTGGCTCATGGAGAGCTTGTTGTCCACCGGGACCCAGAAGTCCTTCTCAGCAGAGCTGCTTCTCAGCAGGTCAACACTTTGCCTGTACTGGTGCCTGGGGTTATTCTGTCCCAGGTGCGTTTGCCTTTGTGGAATTCAGACAGTCTGCCCATCTCTCCAACCTGTCGAGGTCCTTCTGAAGGGCAGCAGAGCCCTCTGGGGTATCGGCCACTCCTCCCAGCTTTGTGTCATTAGTGAACTTGCTGAGGAGGCATCTGCCCCTTCATCCAAGTCACTGATGGAGAATTTAAACAGTACTGGGTCCAGTAGGGGAACATCACTAGTGACAAGTCTCCAGCTGGACCCTGTGCCACTGATTATGACCCTCTGGGATCTGCTGTTCAGCCTGTTCTCAATCCACCTCACTGTCCACTCATCCAGGCCACACTTCCTGAGTTTGCCTATGAGAATGTTGTGAGAGAAAGTGTTAAAGGCCTTGCTGAAGTTGAGGTAGACAACATCTTCTGCTCTTCCCTCATCCGTCCAGGCAGTTGTTTTGTTGTTGAAGGCAGTCAGATTGGTCAAGCATCATTTCACTTAGGTAAATCCATGCTGGCTACTCCTGACTGCCTTCTCATCTTGAACACCGGTGTGACGTTTGCTGTCTTCCAGTCCTCAAGTAACTCTCCTGATTGCTACAACCTTTCAAAGATGTCCATGAGTGGCTCATGTGTGGTGTCTGCTAACTCCCTCAGCACTCATGGATGCATCCCACCAGGGCCCATGGACTTGTTGTTGTCATGTTTGCCTAGGTGTTCTATAAGCCAATTATCTTTGACCAAGAAAAGGATGAGGATTTTTTTTTTGGCTATTTATGTGATTTACCATGGTACTAAGTGCATTACAGAATAATATTGGCAGAGGGGATAATCATCCTCTGCTACCAGTTATCGGCGGAGGGGGTAGAGACAGATTGTGCTAAGACCAATATGATCGACTAAATGACTGATTTATTACAAGAAGAATACTCATTATATACTGCTTCTACACCCCGATGCATGATTCTTCTTCACACAGCATTGGATACATAAGAGAAACGTACTTTGTTGTCCGATGTTAATTGGAGCGTAGCAGGTGTCCATAAGAGATGAAAAAACTTGTTTACCTGCCAAAACTCCTCCTTGACCCTGGCAGGGAGCCTTCTTTGTTCTAGCTTCAGAGCCTGTAGCCATGTTAGCTACACAGCAGTTTGTACTGTCCGCACCCAGTCATGCCAAGGCAAGGCCTACAGAAATGCAGGGAAAATTGTTCACACACAATCTTTGTTCTCCCAACAGAATAATTATTCTCTGGCTTTATAG